TGTTGGGTGGGGGGACGAATCCGCCTTCGACAGGAATTTTCCGAGTCGCGGGGAAATTTTTCCTGTTGTTAACTTTCCTTGATTTTCCCATGATGGAAAGTTGGGAAACCTTGGGAAAATGGTTGTTGGCGAGGAGTCGTACCAGATGAGGAGATTTCGGGGGGATCAAAGTGACACCGCTACTTCATTCACTTATTACGATGCTGTGCCCAGTGCTGCCAAAACGGCAAATCAAATATGCATACAATTTCTAAAAGGCCAAATAAGACCTCAGTCCCTCCGTGAGGAGTGCCAACCAAACAGAAGCTTCATGAAGTTGTCGCTCTGATTATTAGATTCCCTTTTACATTACCCGCGAATCACTTATGGTTGGCAACAACCGTAAAATTATTGGGATATTTTCGACCACCATCTAATCTTGTTTTCGCCCGGTAACTGGAAAGTAATCTATTTTACAGCGAACACCCCTCGTATGAGGGGGCTCACACCTGCAGCGACGGCTTATTTATCAAAAGCAGCACTTCAAATCCCTTGGAATGCACTTCATCATATTGATGTATTAGGCCGTTGAGAATGGCAGATACCTAACTGACTGCAAAGTGCAAATGATGAATTACCACGTCGGCTAACCCGTACTGCTTGCTTTATGTAGGGGCAGTGTTTACACAGACCGTTGGCTTACCTGAACGTGTTCGTATCGTTTGTCTTCGCGTCCATTGGATTGTCCGGACAGAACTCGCCGTGAAACACCATGATCAACAATGCCGCGCTATTCGGACCATGTGGGGTCAACGGAGGCGAGTCTGCAAATATTACATAACCATAAGGAAAGCTAAAAGCGCGAAAATAACATTCGCAGCGCTCGGCGCTGTTTGGCTTGGTGGGACATGGTTCCCACCAAGCCAAACAGCGCCGAGCCCTGCGAATTCGAGCACCGCTGTGAAGACCTCCTGTGAAGAACTGTTAACTACTGTAGAGCTGTCCGGTAGCAGGAGTTTCGTACGCCCTTGACAGGAATCCACAGGTCTCACCAAGGAGAGACGTGTAATCAACAGGAACTAACAAAAGAAAGAATAAAAGTGCCATATGCCCCCTCCCCCCAACCGAACAGTGCCAGCGGTTTTTTAAACCAAATGTTTTTTCCCCTTTTGATTTTTCCAAACATGCTTGGCCATAGAAAAACATCATTGTGCAATAGTTGAAGCTATCGTACTTGAGATGTGTACATGACTGACACGTGCGGTCGCAAAGCGACCAGACACCCGTCTTCAAAAAAGTGACGCTATTTCAGTAAATTTTTGAGCCGTAAATCGGAAAACGGTTGAGGCGGAGGTGGTGTAGTGACAAGTGGCGCGCTTACCACTCGCGCGGCGCCGGGTTCGAATCCCGGGTCGACACCCGCCCATGCCAAATAGTCCTTCTACCCCCTGGGGACGGTAAA